GGAACGCTTGACGCCTTGTAGAGTCCATGCCCCGACGAATTAAGGTGTTCCTAATGTTTGGTATAGTCAGTGTATATCATGTGTATATGACGAATAAACAAACTTGAACTTGAACTTGAGAATAGAGTTTGCCAAGAAGTGCTTAGTCAGATTTCTCCTAACATGGAGCGGAGGCTCAGGAGAACAGGAGTGTGACCCTTGGGTGGTCTGGGTCAGGAATGTCCTGTTGGGTTCAGTGTCACTAACATATAGTATAGGTGGTCGTGAAGGGTCACAGGGGAGACCCCCACAGAGATAGCTCCGGGGATGACTAAAGAGCGAGAGAGAGACATGTTGTGTGTGTGCGCGTGCGTGTGTGTGTGTGCGTGCGTACACTATTGCTGTGTGTATATCTGCAGAGATTAAGTCAAACTGGTGATTGGACTCTGAGTCTGAGCTGTAGCAGATTTCCCAGAGTCTCTGCCAGTCTTTTGGGTAATGACGCCACATCAGTTCCCAGACAGACACACAGTAGCAACCACCTAAACAGTTTATGATTTATTTGACCTCTGAGGCCAAACAACCACAACCCGACAGACACACACCTTGGTTCCACTATGGCGCCTCCTTGTGGGCGATACATGTTGTACTCAAAACCTGGACATTTTGGTGTTTGAGTTCATTTCCCCCAGACAATATATGGATCCCAATGCCCATATGGGATCTATAATCCACCAGATTGACCAAACCAGATCAGACAGGTTCATTCAGGGTTGATTTAATGATACAGTCAAACACAGGCACATGGACGCCAAAGGGATCTCAGCTATATGATTGCATGTCATTGTGGAACTCGGAGGTGTGTGTGTGTCTGTGTAAACTGATATGAATCCAGGAGGATAGAGGACCTGGAATAAAAAACAGTCACATTGCATGTATTGCACACGATCATACACTATGACTGTGCTATCCTTTATTCATGCCAAATATGGATGATAATTAATGTTTCAATGACTTGCATGAAATCATGAATAGATACCCGCACAATGGTCTCAGTGAGTTGGTGCATTATGGTCCCATTGTTTTATTGCGCAACGTTTCGACCCGAAACGATGAAGACCATATCAACATTCTTTTTTTATCTCTCCGTCTTTATGACATAAAAAGAGAAGTCAAGCCACTTGGTGCTTGCTTGCCAGACTCACTACTGTCACACAGTATTAACAGTACCTAGCACTTTTATGATGATTACTTTGGCCTGGTGTTCATTACTTTGGAAGTAAAGGGGCTGGGATATACCCCTAAACTATCTTCAAACAATACCCCTGACTGCTGTCTCCTCACATCCTTAAAGAGTGAACATTATTCATGTTCTCCAGTATGCTTTCTAACAGTGAAGCAAGCTGTGGGAATATCTGTGTGAAACATCACTTGAAGGCTCTGGAGAGTGAGAAAGAAGTCTCATGAAAGACTGAGGGGGCAGAGTGACATACACAGACAAGACAGGAAAGACAACATGAAGGAAAAGGAAACGGGCAACAGCGGGAACGTTTCAGGAATGTTTATTTAAAGCTATTTGAGTTGATGCATTACAGATATGAGCTCTTAGGAGATTGAAACTGATATTATAATGGTTCACATGGCAAAGAAGAAACAATAAATAAATAGCAAATAAAACACTTAATATTTGCTGAAAAACAATGCCTGGGGGTAGCATTCACAATGACTACATAAAGAGCAACTTGACAAAGCCAAATTTGAATACTGAACTGCAACTGATCTGGTTCACCTACAGTCAATTTTCTTACTGACAGTTTTTGAAATACAGCTCCACAGCATGTTTTAATATGAAAAGTGTCCGTTCAGCAAGGAAAACTGAGTCAAATCCACTGAGTCAACAAATGGCCACAAATCTGTTGAAGACCGCCTTGTGTACAAGGATCTGGGCCAGGAACGTCTCTCCCTGACCCCTGAATCCATGGCCACAACACAGTTCTCTCAATTAAAATGCTGACTACTGTATCAGTGAGCTGTAGTTTAGCAATAAGTGAGCAGAGTCTGGATGGCAGTGTGGCATACGTCAGTACGAGTCTTACAGAACAAGAACAGGCACATAAAGACTGACAGAACTAAAACTACAACCCCCATAATCCACAGCCGTCTGGGGGTTGAGATGCTGGCTGCATCTCCATAGTCTAAAGTGACTTTGTGGCCTTGTCTCCTTTGTCGCAGGATTTTGCCATACTGCTCTCACCACCACCAATTCTGTTTAGTACAGATGAGGGGAAGAGCATGAGGACAGGAAGCCACAATAGACTATTGAGACGCACCTATAACATCTGGTAGGTCTGACTTGTTACGTCTGGGATGAGTTTGTTGTGTCTAGTGTGGACTACTTCTGAAATGGCACTTTTTCCCCCAGGACCAAGGCCCAAAGTAGTGCACTATTTAGGGTATAGGATGACATAGCAGATGCAGACTAGGAGTAGACAGTGTCTGATCTGGTGGTTTATTTCTCGGTGGAGAAGGCTCGCTTCATGAGCGGTGGTGGGGTCTTCCCTGCATCATAGACTGATTCTGGGGGCGGGGAGCTGAGACAGCACCAGTCTGGGATACGGCCTGTCTGGTTGTAGTAGTCACGGGACACGGAACGACTACCAAGGATGTCCTGCAGTGCTCCAAAGATTGCTCCTACACAGGGAGAGGAAAGCAGGAGACACAGGGTTATTCACAGCTTAGTTACTACTGTATTCCTACATCCATCGGACCCATACAGCTTTACAGTGTATAAGGACAAGGTTGGTTATCAGACTAATCTGTGTCTCACCTCCGAGCCATGCGGTGCAGTTGGGTTTGGCTGGAGGACTGTGCAGCCTGAAGCTCTTGGTGGCCAGGGCGTCGCGGTACTTGGGTTTCTCCACCAGGAGGCGTATCTCAGCCAGGAGCCGGTGCAGGAAGCCAGGCATCATGGCCGTGCCCCCGATGATCACCAGATTCTCAGACAGAGCCTTACGAGTGTCGATGGGACACTAAGGGGGTTAATCAGATGATAACGTGTGGTTACAAATGTATCAATCAGTCATCTTTTCTCAAATGTACTGTTCACAAACTTAACAGCAAGCTGGACTTCAACTCCCAAGCTGGTTATTAATGTCTATGGGACAGAAATGGGTGTTTAATAAGATTTTTTTTAAACATATGATGAGAAGAAATTTATCAATTGTTTTTCATTTTTCGCCTAAATCAGTTGTGCTTGATAAGTGCTTCACAGCAAAATGTGCCAAGCAGAGGCGACAGTGGCAAGGAAAAACTCCTTAGGGCCTGGGTGGGAAGAAACCTAGAGAGGAACCAGACTCTTCTGACTAACCAGGTAGAAGTAGTTCAGCATGCATGCAGTATGGCCGTAATGTATACATGTACTGAACTTACTGCATTAGAGAGGAAAATGGTCATGCACGATTATAAATGCAGACATAGGCTCACATGGACATGAGCATGATAAACGAGGGCCAGGTTGCTGACTTCACTGCGGCCCTGTTACTCCTGAGCAGGACAGAAGTGCTGGTCTCTCAGGAGAGAAATCTCATTGACATTGCAAACTGTAGAGAAGTGGAGTGGACCGTTAACTAGCTTCATGCACTGCCTGTCACACTAGTCCACTGAGACCAATGAGTGCTTATGTTACTGTGCTTGACAGAGTGAGTGCAGCACAAGCACTAGGCCAGCAGCAAGAGTAATGGAGGCTGCTCTGCCTATTGAGATTAATGGTCTGTCGTTGGTCTGATCTGGCTCCTCTCAAAGGAACCAAGCCGATTTCACCTCAGCGAACCAGAGAGTCTGGAAGTGTTGCTATGGTAATAGGGTTAAAGTAAGTATCTCGTACGTTTCGGTGGGAAGCGTTCTTCATCACAAAATGGAAGATAAGGAAGGAAGGAATTATGGAATGGCTGATTTTAATTAGAAGACGCAGATGTCTGATGAAAGGTCGTTGTGACCAAAGCAACATTGTCCAGTAATTACTGATGAAGAGTGTTGCAACTTACGAATTCAGTACCCACATATTTCGGCAGCATCTCATCTCTTGCTGTTTGAGCAGAAAGAAACCATTTTCCTTTCTAAGGCACAGATTAATATATGGCATTTTTCTAGATAAATACAAATGTTACCTTGACCAGAGCGTCAAGCACCAGCGACGCCACACTCTTCTCCTCGTTGTCCTGCTCAAACAGCATCTCCATCACAGAGTCCCTGCAAATCACAACAACCCACAAGTCACTCAGAGACCCTACAATACATCATCTTAATTGTATTACGATTCCCTACAAAACAGAACCATCACGTCACTCAATAGACCCTGCACTAAAGTGTTTGCAAAAAGACAACCCTTATTTCATTTAAATTCCAAGGGGAAATTGCAGCGTCTCATTAGCCGCCGTTGAGAAGAGCAGACAGACACTCATGGTGAATGACCTTGCAGAGACAACCCAGATTCAATAATAGAAGGTGACCCAGATATTAAAAGAGGAGACACAGAACCAAATATCTAGGTTTGAAATGTTCTGGACATTAATAAAATGGACAACCCATTTGCTGTGTCTTGTAATTGTATCATTACTTGTATCCAGTTGAGGATATGTTTCATCGTTTTCTACATTGCTAGTGTTAGTAAAGTGTAACAGCTATTCAGGGGGGTGGGGGACCAGAGGACAAACAGCTACCTGATTGGTCCCTTAATATGCAGAATCTTCTCCCCATCCAATGGGTAATCAACATCAGGGGGTGGTGTTGGACGCTACAAGGGGAAGAACATGGATGTGAGGGTCTCAAATGCACTGGACTATAATACTCACCACACTAACTTTAATGAATGGCATTTATTGGAAGAACACAGCAATAACTACTCTTTGAAATACCGGACACAATCCAAACATAGACATGACATAGTCAAATATCACTGACCTTAGCCGTTCCCTCCAGGTTAAACTTGGCCTCCTGGATCTTCAGGCCTCTCTGTAGGTCACTGACGAAACAGGTCCTGACTGGATAACAAGACAACACAAACAGCATTCGAGGGTCTACGTGAATATGCTAGCACCAACATACATGAATCAGGTGAAGATATGTTTGAAAATAAATTTGCTTTAGCTGCCCTTTGTAGCTAAATCCATTTAATTTAACTGCCAAACAGGAATCCCGTCCCAGCATTGTCTGTTTTGTCTGTATGAAGCCAATAAAAACAAGTGGTTTCAGTCTCTTTTGAACATACCCTTGATATCCTCTACAACCTCCTCTGGGATGGAGCCTGGGAAAGAAATATAGGATAAAAAGAAAGTGACTTAGCCTCCCTAAAACACAAACCTCACATAGAGCCCTTCATTTCACGTCAATGCTCCTACTACTGTACTAAATGATTGTCTCATTGCAGTCGAATGGGGCACGCCATGGAGGGGTGCATCTGAGACAAGGAGAGGAAACCACATTCGACTACAGAGGTGCACTCATGGGTTTAGGAAGTATGGAGAAAGTGAAGAGAGTGGATTATATCCACTCTTGATAAGTGCAAAGCAGTTCACAAGTCCCAATTTGATATATACTTTTTACATGCTCCAGATATGTTTGCTACAGTTTAATGTATGCAGTCATAACAGTCGAGCCAATGCATAGTCTACATCAGTCATTTGACTGTAATACTCCATTCAGTCGTGCCGTGGTTCTGCAGTGGTGAGGTTCAGTAGTGCAGAGAGAGAGGTTGTCTATGCTATGCCTGTTTTAATTATTGATGCCTATCCGAACTGCCTAGCCCTGCGTCAGCTAGCTAGAGAGCTACTGCTGCTCTTCATAATGATTCACTCTCAGAACAGAACAGAACAGAACCCCCAGGATACAGTACAGAAGGAGAGAAAGGAGGCCATGTGTATATATATAATTCAAAAGAGAAGAGTCTCTCCTTCCTTTTACATCACGCTATAACAAGGACTTCTGAATATAAAATGTTGCATGATTGATTCACTCAGAGAGAGATTATAACTTTCTTCCTTTCTTTTACCAATGGAACACCAGCATCATTATGAAACTAATTTTGAAAAATTAATTAACAAGATTGTCAACAACAGCTATTCACAATGCATGATATAGCCACAGAAAACAAGAGGATCCACGTAGCAAACTAACACCGTTTATACAATGACAAAGCACTGCATCAGTTGTGAGGTAAGTTGCTGGTGTTATTGACTAGTATCTTTCTGATGTGGGGGTCTTACCAATGACTGTAGGTAGACTCTGTCCAGTGCTGGAGTCTGAGTCTACTGTACACTGTTCCACCAGGAGCCCATCCAACTCCCTGAAGGATAGAACACACACAGCCACTTAGAACAAAGGGGGACAAGTACCTCTGAAAGCACATACCTTGATACACTTGATTCTGTCAAGGCAGGCAAACCAAGAAATTGCGGCTTGAAACACACAGTTCTCAAGAGGTGAACAACAGGTTGTTTCCCTGAAGTTCAGTACGTGAGACAAGCAAAGTAACACACACGCAAACAGCTTTGCATGATTACGCCATCTAAAAAAAAAAACACATGCACACTACTTACTTATGAATGGCCTTTCCACCCAAAGGCAGGGCTTCCCAGGCTGGCAGGATGGGGATGCACTCATACACTGGCAGCACCAATGTCTCTGTGTAGCCACAGTCCATCACCAGGCCTGAGTTGATGCCCAGAGACATGATGGACATGAGGTGGCTGGGGGCAAACAGCACCGAAGGCACCTGGAAAACACAGATGCATCATGGGTATGAGACAAATCCAAAACATCCATCGCCTGATCTGAAAATAAAAAATAATTTTGTCTTCCACCTACTGTTAGGAGTAAGCAATATGGAGATGGCTCCATCTAGCTTCCCAATTGGCTTAGGGGAGCATTGCATTCACTATTTTGCTTACACCCATCTAGTCAGGGTGGATAGGGTTTTTGTACCAGGTTCATTACATCAGCAACCACCTGCCTCCAACAAAGTGGTTCTAGACATAATAGACATATAGATCAGTGGTCTCAGACAGTACCTCAAACTGTTTGAAGAAGACCTTGGTGAGAGTTTCTCTGAAGTGGGAGGGGCAGAGGATGGACTCGATGATTACCACTCTCCTGTCACGAGGGTTAACCAGCAGATGCCTGGGCAGGGGGGGAGTAGACACAGACATGTATTCTAGACTACACAGTCACTCAATCATCCATGTTATTATGACCTGGGATGCATCTCCAAAATGGCTTCCTCCCCATGGTTACTTTCAGGTTATCACAATTGATGTGTAAGTCATTACACACACTACTATGTCAAAAGAGCCTCACCTGAAGTAGAGCATGTGGATGAACTCCTTGAGGTTGGAGTAGAGCTCCTCTGTGTTGATGTTGTACTGAACTACTTTGATAGACTGTGACAGAAGACACACACCGTCAGAAATGGTTATAGGCGAGGCTGTCCATTTTAATATGGTCTGTCAATAAGTTAAATACCACCAGTCATTTGCTCAGTAACTAACTCACCTGTTGTTGTCCCGGCTTCTGGATCTCGCTGGGAATTATGAACCTGGGCCCCGTCTCTCCAGCAAAGCCACACCTGCATCATCATACAACCATTTAGTTTGATGGGTGAAATCATTGACACTTGTCAGACAGTGTCAATACTCATTGAGCCCACATTCATTGACAAAAGGCCTTAGTGTGTGTCAAGGTCCAGTAGACAGACACAGAACACAGAAGCAGAGTTGTCACTGAGGGTCTCATCTGATTCTCATATGATCTGCCACAGGCGCCAGACTGCTGCTGTTCGCCAGATAGCCAACTAACGTTAAACATTGCTAGGTCTTTTTCAGCACAAAGCATATTACTAACACATTTTGGCTAACTAAATAACGTGCTTTAAACAGTGGACAGTCGGTCTATATTTACTTAAATCCATGAAACCTCTGATTGATGTTCATTACTTAGCAGTTATGAATGGCAGTGGCCAATGTTGCTAACAGTAGCTAACATAGTCAGCTAGCTAAAGTTAGCTATGCCAGCTAACAACATAGCTAGCTAGCTAAATACTCACTTTGTGTAGGCTGCTCCTAAATCAATGACTACTGCAGTTTTCTCCCCTCCACTCCCCAAACCTTCAAACAAGGGCATTTTAACGTTTATATGTATTTAATCGTTTCCGATATGGAGAATTTACTAAATATACGACATGCAAGTGCAATGACATTAATTCCTGTTGGGTTGGGCTGTGTCCTTTCAGCTTGAGGAATGACGTCCGTGAAACTCGCCTGATTAAAAATAGTTTGTCCCGCTGTAAATTAATTTATGGGATGATACTTTTATGTTATAAATGAAATCACACAAACATGTATAATACATAAAAAATATACCAGTCTATAGTCATATCCAAATACTTATAAAAGGCCCTTGTACAGCCTATATATCTCTATTTGCACATCATCTTCTGCACATCTATCACTCCAGTGTTAATACTAAATTGTAATTATTTTGCACTTTGGCCTATTTATTGCCTTACCTCCATAACTCACTACATTTGCACACACTGTATATAGATTTTCTATTGTGTTTTTGACTGTACATTTTGTTTATCCCATATGTAACTCTGTGTTGTTGTTTTTATCGCACTGCTTTGCTTTATCTTGGCCAGGGCGCAGTTGTAAATGAGAACTTGTTCTCAACTGGCCTACCTGGTTAAATAAAGGTTAAATAAAAAAAATATTAAAAAAATATATATATGCACTGAGAATATGAACAATCTATAAAGAACATGACATTCATTGCATAGCCTACCCCTATATTGTCCAAAGTATCTAGAAATGAAAGGATGAAAAGAGAGACATTCTGTGTTTTCTTTATTTGCCGAGGAAGTTATGCCTCGAGTAGAGAGACAGTTGGTCTGAAAATTAGTACGAAATTAGTAAATAAACTTTATTTTAGTCATTTCCTTACATTTGAGCTATTGTTTAGACTTCACATTTATCTTAAAGGAATGTATTAATTGCCATAAGGCAGGTAACGTTCTAAGAGACGTACAACACAGGTTTCAGAACCAAGGAGCTGCCATGAGGATCTACAAATAGAATTTGAAAACATTTTCCGCCACTAAAACAATTGCCTCTTATGCAACGCATTAAGCATGAAATATTACTGAACGTTCTTCATAAATCATATCTCTCCACGCGCTCAATCACAGAGCAGATCGAGGCACTCTGCCAGTTCAGCACCACAGGCACACGCACTCCGAAGCGTACATTGTGTGATGCTGATTAGCACAATAATAAAGGCTATTCCTTCAGCTTGCTTCCGGAACGATATTGGCAACTTATTTATATTATATTGATGATGTTGTAACATACAACCCTTTGTTGAAAGGAAAGGCTGGTGGAAAAACATACCGCCCTTTGCAATGAGGTAAACATAATTCCAGTCTACAACTCTGGCAGGTAAGGACCATGCATTATACTGTGTGCATCCTAGCCTGTCATTAGACTTTCATCTTACCTAACCTATTTTTATTTATGTATTTTAAATCAAAAAATGATCTACGGTAATGCTAGAACAATTGATAAGCTGAGAAGCACTGTCTCTACTGTAGCCTATGTTGCATAGTCACAAACGCACATATGAATACACGGGTTTTAATGCACTAGAAGACTACTTAGATCTATTGGCATTGGATATGTACACTACATTTTCCCTGCGCCGCAGTGGCTTGGCGTGGGACTGGATGATGATGTTTGTTTACCGGAGGTCTATTAAGAATCCTCATAATTGGCTCATAACATGTATTCTGGGTATCAAGCAGCAGGCTGCTCTCTTGACTCTTGTTGAGTGCATTAATTAACATTATTGATTAGCGATGGACCGCTTTGTGGTAAGAGTTAGAAGGTGTGTGTCTGTTTGTGTGTGTGTGTGTGTCAGGGTTTGATGTTGATGTTGATGTCTGTGAGATATCTGTCTGACGTCTGACACACGCAGCAACACAGGGAGGCTGATGCAAGCAGGGTGTCTCCCAGGCAACCCAATGGGAACTAAAATCTTTTTAAAAATGTCCCTTGCAGATGATCAAAGTATGGCACCACTTACACGTTTTAGTGCAGTGTCCTATTCTCTTCATTACTTCCTATTTGAATGTCTTCTTCCTGTTATTATAATGGTATTACCGTTTTTTTCAAACGCTTTGGCGCAATTTTCACAATGCTTAGTACAACACTCAAAACAGATCATCAAAAAGATAGTTGTTTAAAACTCTAAGCACATTTTGATCAGTGTTTCATCTAGAAATACATGTTAAACATTGTAATACATGGTAATATAAAGTAATTGCCTTTCACAATGCAATACTCACATTACTTTTGATATTATTGTCTTCTCATTTGTTAAAATACATTTTACTATTACTTAATCTGACTACTCTTAATTGATAATTACTTAACCATTTGGTAAACCTATAGATTTTAAACTGGTTTGTCTACACCGGATTTTGAGAACTACATCATGTACATTAACAACACCTGCTCTTTCCATGACATAGACTGACCAGGTGAAACTAGGTGAAAGCTATGATCCCTTATTAATGTCACTTGTTAAATCCACTTCAATCAGTGTAGATGAAGGGGAGGAGACAGGTTAAAGAAGGATTTTTAAGCCTTGAGACAATTGAGACATGGATTGTGTATGTGTGCCATTCAGAGGGTGAATGGGCAATACAAAATATTTAAGTGCCTTTGAACAGGGTACGGTAGTAGGTGTCAGGCTCACCGGTTTGTGTCAAGAACTGCAATGCTGCTGGGATTTTCTTTCTGAAGGCATTGTAAGTGCAATACAATACAGTAAAATACAATACATGGTTACAATACAGGTGAAAGATGTATGATTGACATCCCCATGAGTGTACCACCTTCCTTCAGGTCATGGATGAGGCATGCAATGACATCAATCCAGACCTACAGTACCAGTCAAAAGTTTGGACACACCTACTCATTCAAGGGTTTTTCTTTATTTGTAAAAAAAAATTACATTGTAGAATAATAGTGATGACATCAAAACTATGAAATAACACATATGGAATCATGTAGTAACCAAAAAAGTGTTAAACAAATTGTAAGGTTCTGTATTTATTTTCTTAGTCATCCTTGTGTTCTTGAACGTAGCCCTGTCTTTCATTTTTGTTCATTGATTTCACCTGTGTTAGTTACTCACCTGGTCTCATCAGCTCCTTATTTAGTTCAGTTTATTCTGTTTGTGCCTTGTGAGGTATTGTTCGTTTTGACTCTACTAAGCCTTTTCCTAGCTCGTTTGTGAGAACCAGTTATAGCCTTCAGTCCTAGTTTTTGATTCTCCTGCCTGTTTGCCTACCTGTGTATGACCATTGCCTGCCTGTGACCACGATTCTTGCCTTCTGCGAAGGCGTAATAAACACCTGCCGCGCTCTGTGCGTGAATCTACACCTTTTTCTCCCTGAGTATTCATTACACAAATGACAGCTTTGCACACTCTTGGCATTCTCTCAACCAGTTTCACCTGGAATGCTTTTCCAACAGTCTTGAAGGAGTTCCCACATATGCTGAGCACTTGTTGGCTGCTTTTCCTTCACTCTGCCCTCCGACTCATCCCAAACCATCTCAATTGGGTTGAGGTGGGGGGATTGTGGAGGCCAGGTCATCTGATGCAGCACTCCATCACTCTCCTTCTTGGTAAAATAGCCCTTACACAGCCTGGAGGTGTATTGGGTCATTGTCCTGTTGAAAAACAAATGATAGTCCCACTAAGCCCAAACCAGATGGGATGGTGTATCACTGCAGAATGCTGTCGTAGCCATGCCGTACTACCGCACGGCAAGCGGCAAGCGGTACCGGAGCGGCAAGTGGTACCGGAGCGTCAAGTCTAGGTCCAAAAGGCTTCTTAACAGCTTCTACTCCGAAGCCATAAGACTCCTGAACAGCTAATCATGGCTACCCAAACTATTTGCATTGTTCCCCCCACCCCACCCACCCCCTCATTTATGCTGCTGCTACTCTGTTTATTATCTATGCATAGTCACTTTAACTCTACCCACATGTACATATTACCTCAATTACCTCAACTAACTGGTGCCCTGCACATCGACTCTGTACCGGTTCCCCCCTGTATATAGCCTCCCTACTGTTATTTTATTTGACTGCTGCTCTTTAATTATTTGCTATTTTTATTTTGTACTTATCTCTTTTTTACATAACACTTTTTTTTTTTTTACTGCATTGTTGGTTAAGGGCTTGTAAGTAAGCATTTCACTGTAAGGTCTACACCTGTTGTGTTCAGCGCATGTGGAAAATAAAATTGGATTTGATTTGATTCGTTCTGGAGAGAAAACCTGCTATTTATAGTTCTTTTAAAAGTGCAGGGGTTTGCTGTGTCAGGCTGTACTGAATGTGTGTGTTTGTGTACGTTTGTGTGTAGTACATGAGTGTGTGTGTGTGTGTGTGTGTGTGTGTGTGTGTGTGTGTGTGTGTGTGTGTGTGTGTGTGTGTGTGTAGAGAACGGCATGGACTAGAAGCACAATAGCCAGAGAGGGGGATAGAAAACAGCAAGGGGTAGAGAGATAGTCCAAATTTTCCACAAAGCTGTTTAAGAAACTGCCAGTCTGCAGCATCAAAGGAAAGGCTGACAGAAAAGCTCATATAATTCTCCGCCTCAATTATCTTAGGATAGGGTTCAGCAATAAATAAGGGGTGAAATTCTCAAACGAATTCTCTATTCCTATGAGTGCAGTGTGCCTCACAGTCCTAATTCGAACACATTATTTTATTAACCTGGCCTCAATATCTACACGCTCCAGTTTAATGCACATATTCACAGCAGTTCTAAGCCATTGCATTTATCTGGAGCTGAATATATCTCTTGGTTTTTAACCCCTTCTCTTTCCTCAGCTGAATCTCCAGACCATTTGGGTGTGACCTGCCCCCCCCCCCTCATAGGCTAGAAGGGAGGGCCGTTCTAGCCACTGCGACCGCGCTCTCCCTCTTCATGTTTACTTTGTGGTGAGAGTTGGGAGAGATGCTCTTCTCTGTGACCCTTCATCACCTCCTTCTGGCAGGGGTTTGTCTCTGCGTCTACAGCACCCCAGTCCTGCCCCTCCACGACTATGCACCTTCCTCACAGGACAGTGGCTGTGATGGACAAGCTGGAGAGCTAATGGAGGGAGAGCCCTGTTTAACACCAGCAACTCCTGTCAGTGTCATATCAACAAGTGTCCAATCTGGGCCCTCTGATCCTGGCAGACTGTCCTATGGGATGGCAGAACACATGACTGGCAGCTGGACTGACCTATCAGAGAATGTAGGAGCAGGGGGAGGCACTGGCCCAGATGTGGGCGGAAGCGAACCAGGGGGGATAGAGCCAGTGACGCAGGTAGGAAACGGGGACAGTCATGGACGAGGAGTGGCTGGGGCTGAGAGCCAGGGGAGGGAGGCAAAGACGGGGGCTGCCTCTGAGAGCTTGTCTGAGGGGAAGGAGACTCACAGACAGCCTCAAGAAGCTCCAGAACTCTACACAGACAAAGAGGTGAGAGTAGGGCCCGAAGAGAAAACCATGGAGAGTGTACCTATTACCACCACTGGGGCCATGTTGGCTTCCATAGGAGAGAAGCAGGGGATGACAGTGGCCGTGAATACATCCAGAGCTGCTATACATGATGCCTCCACAGCAGCCAGAGCCCCAGAGCCAGACAGTCAGACAGGGACACACCCAGCTGGGGAGAGGAGAGACCTCATCCTAGAAGAGAGGCCAGACCTCCATGGTGGAGAGGAGGAGGAACTCAGACAGAGCTTGTCCAACCTCGGAGCTCCTCTTCTGGGCCAGGAGACAGAGACGAGCAGACCGAGCTCCTCATCTCCCCATAGCATCCTTACACACTCCCCTTTGACCTCCATCCCTCCGTCAGTATGGGGATCTAGAGGAGAAGCTTCATTGCTGCCCCCTAGTGGTCTAGAGGCCACCGCCCCTGCCACTCCACGGCCCCAAGATGGAGAGACAGCGCCTGCTCTCCCAAACCCCCTCCTGGCCAACCTTGGACCGGCCCTGACAGGATCCTCCAGACAGGATGACCCTGACAGCCTCTGGACTGAACCACTGCAGCGAAATGGGGGTGAGTATGCAGTATGCTATGGTCCAATTAGTACATACTGGATATTTTAGAGAGCCACTGGGGGCCACCTGGAGTTAATCTACTCTATAGTTGCACTTGAGGGCCACATTCTCTTTTGAGTTTTTGCACATTCACACACAAACAGACTTGCTCTGCCTCACAACAAGGTAAGGTGCTGCTCTGGCTGTTATTGAGTCACACCATAGAATTTCATTACACGGGTTCCGTGGCAGGGAACCTTATTTTTCTGCCTGTCTGCTTTGATGATAGGGGTGAAGGGGGAGAGGTGTCCGCTTGGTTTTCCACGCTTCACTTTGAACCCTAGCACGCAGGGACCCAGGGAAGCAGTCAAATTACTTTCTATTTCTGACTGTGGAAATGAACCCAAACGACTGCCAGCAGACAGCAGTGACAGGGACTGTAATACAAGTCTCTGGGGGATTCACTCACCCTCCATCTCTATCTCTCTCTCTCTCTCGCTCCCTCACAAAACATCCATATTTCTTCCTTTCCTTCCTTCTCTCTCTGTGCTTCTCCCTCACCCTCTTGCTCTATCCCTTTCTCTCTTTCCCTCCCTCCCTCAGAGAGGATCAGTAAACACCTAGGCAGGGCCAGCCAGGCAGGTTATTACTGTGTGATGCAGTAGACTAGAGGATTGGAGGAGTCTGTCTGAGCCAATATGTACTGTACATGCCGGAAAGAGATGAACCTTCATCAGCTCTATAGAAAAGCAGGTGAGTAAAACGAAAGTTACTGTATAAGAATAACCTGTCCCAGAAAGCTGCACTGATCATAAACACTTGAACATCATATGGTGGATTCTATCCATGGTTATGTTATGTGATATGGGATTTATGCATTTTTCAATTTGTGGTAAGAGCAGTTAGAACCTACAGTAGTTGAGAACTGGAAGCAGAGTTGTGGGCCTAAAACTGATCTACAATCAACAGTACACATTCCACAATGTTTCTAGCCACAAGCTGATCTCTAGCAGTCACTAAACCAGGAGGAATTGCCTACGGACCATCAGTGAGTCCTGACCAAACATCTGTTGGTGTGTGTGTGTGTGTATGTGTGTATTTTACTAACAGCCATGGACGCCAGTGCCCCTCCCTTGCAGGACGCGGCCACAGAAGGCACAATGTCCTCGGAGGACCTCCCTCTCATCTTCGAGCCCTTTGATGATGTCACACCTGAAGGGGCGGGGGTAGCAGCGGCCACTCTCTCGCCCGGCAACTCACAGCTGTCTGTCGCCATGGTTACCACAGGGATGCTGCTGTCAGAGGCGGCGCTCGACCAGGTGGTCGCTGTGGATACAGATGACACAGGGCCATCCTGTGTCCCGTCCCCGGTGCTACCAGATTGGACGTCGCCATGGCAGACATCCGGGGCTGAGATCTCTGAGCCTATCAGCCCCTCTAGTTCACCCATAGACCCGCCCCCTCCAGAGACTGAACAGCCAGTAGACCAGTCTGACACAGGTGAGACTTCTTCCATCTTTATATTCCTCTTCATTCTTTAATTAGTCTCTTCATCTTTTCACCGTTCAGATCTAGAAGTTCCTAGAATAGTGTCTAAAGCAGGGGTAGGCAACTAATAATTTGACCACAACTAAGCCCAAAAAGAGATTGTATTTGAAAATAACAATCATTTCATAACTTAATTACATTGAGACATGATCACGTCTATTCTTTTTGGGGGAATACTTGGAGACAGATTTCCTAAATGAAACAACATTTTAGCTGAATTCCTGGTGTTCTTAGCCTTATATTTTTTTTACAGGGATAGGTGTTGATGTTAGACTTCACTATATCCACTAAAATGATCCAGTTGTGATGGTTATATTTAGATGGAGGTGAGACCATACAGAACCCAGAGGAAACCCTGCCAACATCCGAACCCAATCCTATGAGCACCACCGCCCAGCAGATCACCACGACAACGGTCACCAAGACAACCAACCTGCCTGCTGCCAAATCCGGTCTGGAGGAGCTGGAGTCTGCAGGTAGGAGAGTCACATTAATACACACACATAATACACACTAATACTCAAAGGTACACATTGTTTACACAGTGTAAGGGTTAAAGTTAAAAGTCCACATTTACAGAAAGTTGCATTGGTTGTTTTCCTTCCTTCCTGTAGAGGAGCCAGAGGAGGATGAGGAGGATGAGAACACGGAGGAGTCAGAGGAAGAGGACAGCGAAGAGGACCTGAATGAGAACCCCATCCCAGCCCCCACCCGACCTCCCTACAGCCTCATCCCCCCACCCCCTGTCTGGGTGCAGCGCAATCAGGGCCTGAGTGAGAGGAGACTCAAAAACACACATACACACATGTAAAACTGACTTTGGCTCTTTGTGGTCGATCAAATATGAGGTACATATTTTCAATTAGAAAAAGAAGTGTAATTGAAATAGTGGGAAAAAATCCCTGTGTGGATTCAATGTGCTTCAAAGCCACTCTTCCTCTTTTTCAGTGCGTAGCTGGGTGGAACTGATCAGAGAAAAGGTAAGACTGCCCCCTAATGGTATTTTCTTAATTAGGATCCTCATTAGCTAATGCTAAAGCAGCAGCTACTCTTCCTGGGGTCCACACAAAACATAAAACATGACATAATGCATAACATTAATAGACAAGTACAGCACAAGGACAGAACTATAGTACATACTGTACATTGAAAATAAGAATAGACTGCTTCATACATTTATGCCTTAGCATTCCATGCATCATTCACTCATAACGGCAATAATGAAGCCATTCATTTTCCCATAAATTGCGATCCTTTGCTCTACTGTTACAACTGCTTTGTCTAAGCAGGTTCTGATATCCTAATCTCACAGCATCCTTGAATCCTGATATCCTAATCTCAGAGCACTAGTTGTTCTGTAAACACCAGAGAGAATTTCACAACATCAGGAACCATCCCTGTTCTTGGTTCTTCCGTTTGACGTCAATACCATGCCTCATCATGTGATACATAGATGCCACTGAATGCAAGTGCAAAACACCAAAACGAAAATGCAATAATCATGTGGTCATTAATTCCTGCTCAATTCCTGTGGTGTGAACAGAGCCACATATCATATCGTATGGAGTTGCACCTACAGTAAATGTCACACCCGCTATGTTCCTCTGACGTGAACGTAGCAACCTTGAACCGTATGGAGTTGCACCGCATTCAGCTAAATCCCTCTGATGGAGCCATACTATCCTCATTATAAAAGAACTGTTAGAAAGTGTGGTCCCTCAGGCTGTTTGGCTATTTAGTTTAGTTAGTCAAAAAACATGTAAAACATCTACTGATAGAGTTGTCTCTAAGACACTACTCTTTGTCTGGTCTGTCTCTCCTGTGTGTGCCTCTCTTTCACCCTTCCCCCAATCATGTCCCCTCTCCCTCCAGGCAGGGTATGTGTCTGGGATGTTGGCCCCGGTGGGCATTGGCATCGCAGGGGCCCTGCTTATCGTTGGGGCCCTCTACAGCATCAGGATGATCCACCGTAAGAGGAACAGCTTCAAACACCAGAGCAGGAGGAAGGTCAGACACACTGAGGTTAATAGGAATACGCTTACTAGCGCTACACTTTTAATTAAGGATCCACACATCAGCTTACGGTAGAAATTGGCATTAACATGTAAAGTGGCTTCCTTACCTTCGTCTGCACTGATTGGAGTTTCTTTCACATCAGTGCAGATGAGGGAAAGGAGATGGAGAGGAAGAGACTTTGGACGTATTGAGCTGTATACAACCTTTAACTCCATGTAATGAATGTTCTGACGTCTGTCTGTTTCATCTCCAGCAACCCAGGGAGCCAAGCAGCAACGGGCAGGACCAAGCCATGCTATTGGCTGACAGTTCTGAGGACGAGTTCTGATCCCGCCCACAGCCCTGTGCATCACATCTCCATGACTACCACATCTCCAATCACTATGGGCCGTCTGGCTATGAGACAATGGGGGAAGTGGGAGTCGTACCGACAGACTGATGGGTTTTTGACATGTAAAACAGGGTTGAATGTTTGCACACCTATGTAGTTACAGGTGCATAGAGGGAAAATGATAGAATATTTTAACAAGAGACTCCAGGCTATTGACATTCTTGTATGATCCACGTGTTGATCTCAACCCACACTGCATAAAATAATGTCAGTGTGCTGAAGCCTCTTTTTTAAATGACTTGCTATGTAATGAAAGGGCTTGAGGGGACACCTACATGGCATTCAATAGGCTCTCTGTTTATAAAACTTACGAGGGGTGCATTTCAATAGTCTAAAGTGGCTTCCTCGCCTTGTCTCCTTTCCTACATTTAGGAAGCCATTTTTAGAAAGGAAGCCACTTCAGACTATATAGATGTACTTACGGTTACTGGAGTAAGATTGCCACATACTATACTGTACATAGCACATCATAGACACTGAAAACAACATAAGCTCTCTGCAACAGTTGCATTAAGGAAATATGTATTGAAAATACTGACAGCCATTCTTCGATTCATACATGTCGATTGTTGAAAGCCAAAGGCATGTCATCATCCTACTTTAAAAGCATGCAGCAGGAACCAACTCTGTGTGTGTGTACAGTATACTTATATTTTTCCTCTTGTTGCTCCTGACAATGTTATGTTTTTCCTCCAGTGCATGGCAAGCAACTTCTTTCATAACCGTATATACAAGGCTAATACTTATTTAATCATCTCTATATCATGTACCATTTCATAGTCCATTTCTGTACAGAAAGCCCAAGTCATTTGGAGTCATTACTAATCATTACAACCATATCCATGCTGAGGGATTTGTAAAGTGAGACCACTTCTATTTTTCACTCAACTTCTCTATCCTGTACTGTTGTTTCTCCTAACAGTGTAGCAATATAATGTTCTTAATTTGCACAGGTACCTGAAAGGACGTTTATTTTCATGTAACAGTCACCTGTAGCTCAGTTGGTAGAGCATGGCGCTTGCAACGCCAGGGTTGTGGGTTCGTTTCCCATGGGGGCCCAGTATGAAAATGTATGCGCTCACTAACTGTAAGTCGCTCTGGATAAGAGCATCTGCTAAATGACTAAAATGTAAAATAATCTTGCCCTTGAGGCAGAACTGAGCGATTTCCGCTAGATGGGCCAGCTGCAAAGTCAAAATGTATGAAAAAACAAAAATGTGCTTTTGGGAGTTAGGGTTAGGCATTAATGTTAGCGGTGTGGTTAAGGTTAGGTTTAAAATCCAATTTTAGGACTTTGTGGCTGTACCAGCTAGTGACCACTCTGTAGAGCTGCCTCCAGAACAAGATTCATGAACTCTCGGCGGAAACTCTGGGATGCTGAGCCTATCAGCCCCTCTGACACTTGCTGTGTTGATGCCATTGGGATCCGAATTCATATCTTTATTTAGTTCTATGGTTGATGCATCTAAACGGTCAGCATTTTAGCACTAAATATCAAAGGTGTTTTCAAAAATCAAATTCAATGTAATTAAGTAATCTTGCATTGTATAGTAGTCATTCTTTCAAGTTTGAAATGTGTCATTTTGTGTGACCATCTCCTGGTAGGTTGCTTGAGATAAGCCTGTGAATATGCAATAATGCTGTATCATATCGGTTCTGTAAAATGATGTCCACATTTTGGTCTTTCTTCAGATACCAAATGTGAAGTATTTACCAATAATGCTCTCTGCTTGGGAAGGGCTCATTATTTTGTTTCTATTGCTTAACACTATTGACGATGAAAATTAAGTTGGAAGACAACAATGTCTAATCATGAATGAATCACATGATACATTATAAAACAGTGCATTATTTTACAACGTTTCAAATGTGTTGTTTGCATGCTATGGAAGAAAAATAACCAGACAACCAAGAGTCAACCATGACAATCCACCTTACAGCATTAAAAAAATCAAATAATTTATTTCTGTGTTCTTTTTCCACATTAAATAAAAGATATCGTCGGACACTTTCAGAAAAAAAAAAAAAGAGGCGACAGGGGAAGAGGGGCGGGGGAACAGAACTCTGAAATGCAACAAAAAACCTTCTCTCTTCCCTTAGCACACCTTACAGATCGGAGGGGTCCAGGGCTGGTCACCCCAAAAAAACAAATATAGCCCCCCTTTAGCTGGTCCTGGGGGGGGGGGGGGGGGGGGGGGGGGCACAGTGTGTGGGGTGCCTAGAATAGATGCCCACTGAGCTAAGGTCAGTTTGCATCCCCCGTCCCTAAATGGTAAAGGTTATGATTTGGACAGGGTAAGCTGATCCTAGATCGGTGTGCCTAAAGGGAAATTCTAGTAAGAGGAGCAGCTCAACTCCAGTCCTACGTGGCCTATCTTATCAACAGGCCGGTTGCTGTGGATATAAACAGTGGAACATCCAATAAAAAGCTTGACAACTCTCTCTCTTGTCCAATGAGATGGGAGAGGAGTGGGTGGGCTCTGGGGGTAATGGTAGCTAGGCAACCGGTGGGAAGGTGGCCCTCCAGGACCAGTTAAGGGGCCTTGTCAAATCCTTAGACCCTAAACTGGTTTGACAACTTCATTTCTCTGGAGTGAAAACCCTTAATTGATTTAATATGAAGCCATAAGGGATGGGACGGTATCAGCTAGTCTGGATGCCAGTCTGTTTCTGCTTTAGACCACTCCTTTGTCGAAACAGATCAGAGCATTAGATATTCATTAAATAGATATCAAGGACTCTAGAAATTACCACAGACTCTGGCCACAAACAGACTGCTGAGGAAGCCCTTCAACTGGAGTTCATTCAATGAGATGCAACATTCAGAACGTTGCAGCTAGAGATGTAATGAATAGAGCCGACACGATTCCCAATTCTACAAGACCGAGAATCAGATTGGTTCTAGACAATACATTTATATATGTGCGTTCTGTTAAAAGGGCACCCTCCTGAACAGACCTCTGGTGTTGATGGTCAAAGTGGAGCTGTCTGGTCTATCATGGCAGGCTATAATGCCCATTTTTCCTACTGGCAGTGACAGGGGTTAACACTTAAAAACTAGGGGAGAAATAAAATACCCGTTCCATGAGAATGAGGAGCGAGGGTCGGACCAAATTAAAAAAGACCCATTTCATTTGAAAACGGGACAGGAGCGAGCCTCACACCTCTAGAATAAAACAGGATCTGAGTGATGTCAGAAAGAGTCAAGATTCTACACAGGGAGCCAAACAGAAGTCTGCCCAGTGAATGGAACAGAGCGCCATGGGAACAGTTCAGAGCAGTATAGCTCTGGAACAATTAACCTAGCTCCCATCTGTGCTTCTGGATCTCTAATGACATCATCACTGTCCAATATACACCTCTGGATCAGTTACAATAAACGAGTAGAGAAAATAAACAGAAAACCCAGTCAATCAATCCCCCAAAAAACACAATTCACTAAAAGATGCCCTCAAATGTCAAATCAATAGAGAACCAACACTCATATACAAATCTGCAATTTAATTTTTTAAAAAGTAATCTAATCCTTATTTTCAAACACACACAGGCTGCTGTGTGGGTGGTTAGTCTGTCGGTTCACATCCTTTCTTACTTCCCATTCTGCAATCGTAGCCAGTTGAATAGCAGACCTGCCTATTTTAACAAAGACCTTGGGTAAGAGTTCCTAACTGTTTGCATGTTTTTAGAACAGATGTAAAATAGCAGGTGCTATAACAACTTAACAGATGCAAACACTGAGTAAACCTGGCCCAAAACGACTTGTGTATGTCAATGTATACCATATAACGCATTATGGGTAGATACTAGATAGCTGCTCCTTCTTGGCCCTTGTGACACCATCCCAGCTCAGCAGTACAGTAGTGTCTCTGCTAGGACATGATTCAGTTCTTCAGTTACTACTACTGCTCAGTACTAGCTCCCGGTGTCCGTGGCTTCACCATACTGTAGGGCTATCTAGAGGGATTACATGAGAATGGGGAATGTGGGAGTCTGAACAGAACCGATTCCAGACCAATCTGTTAAAACACACGTACCTCTTCACACTTACATGCTCACTGCAGCAATAGCCAAACGAAGTGCATCTGACCTTTGTTCATTTACTTTTTTTAAAGCAGCCACAAATGCATATTTTCTTCGCCATTATTCGTGTGGATAGGAAATGCCTGGTGTGTTAGTCTTTCCCAGGAGGACAGTGGAGATCTAAAATGTTACTGGGGTGTGATCTGCATCAGAGTAGGGTCCCTGGGAAGTGCACACAAGGCTCGGACACTGAGGGAAGTGAGCGAGTGTATAGTAAGCGATCTAAATAAACTCTGAGAGAAAATTGGAAATAGGAAAACTGCTAACAATACTTCTGCCCTCTTTTACTACAGGTGAACCAAAGATGAGCATACTCAAACACACAGTGAAACCAACAGGAATCCAGCATATTTAATATTACTATTCCAGCCTGACACTTTGCCATGCTGAAACAGGACTCTAGTGCTCTGGATGGGGTTCATTCAGACAGACAACTGTGATGACGATTGATTGAAAGACAGAGTGGTACTTGGAACAAGAGTCTACCAGTTAGGAGGAATCTGAATGAACAAACTGCAGTATGGGAATAGTTTCCCTGCCCACACCTAAACTACTCCTTTGTCAATAATGATTTTGAATTAAACTGAATTCTCTCTTTCTAGTTTTTTTTTTTAGCAGTGTTCCAGTGGCTGGAAGTGCATTTGGGGGAAATTTGCTTTGATCTGCAAAAAGGCCCAATCTCAATTTGGCCCCTCGCCCCTACCCCCCTAAGCACTTTATTTAGGTCTAAAATGATTGGATAGGAATTACTCAAATGGTTATAGCTCCACCTTGCCCTCTGATAGGCCAGGAAGAATGTGCACCATATTGCTTACACCTATCAGATCTACAAGTGCCTAGGAGTTAGGACTATGGGTCTGTTTGGAACTGGGCAATGTTCAGTGTTAATCAACACCCACTCATCCCACCACCTGTGTTAAAATAAATGCATGCATGTCTTTACAGGCTCCAGCTCTTCGTCTGGGGGTGAAAACTGAACAGCAAGCAACCGGCGTGTTCATCTTACAATGTAGGGGCAACAAAAACACAGAAAGGGGGAAAAACACACACCAACACGCATTACTCATGATTCCCACCAAGCACTACACAATTTCACATACACTCACACCCAGTCACACCAACCACATCCCTTACACATGCATACAAGAAATAGCCTAAACACTCACTTTTCCAAAACCACTAGGCAAAACAAACACACACACACACTCACACTATAGCTTTTCCAACCCCCTGTTGACTCATAAGATTAAAAAAGAAACGCAAAAAGAAACTCCACAAATATTTCTTTCTAGTCTGCCCCCCCTCCCACCACCACCACCACCACTTCCTTATTTTCACCCTCCGTATATATTCTTTTTTCTCAGTTCTTCCTCTTCTTCTTTCCTTCGTACTGCTGGATGACTCAACGTGATGCATTGCGGTTTGTGGGTTCTCCGTTGGGGGGGGGGGGGGGGGGGGGGGGGGGTCAAAGTTCAGAGGCTATATGTCATGAGACCACATCATCACACACCCCTCCCCCCTCTCACAGGGTCCTACAGCTAACAAGGCAGGGGCCTCTTCATAAAAACATTTGGTGGGATTTCTGTCTGTCCTTTCAGTTAGTTCAGCCTTGACCAAAGAGCCATTATCCAAGATGTCAAGGATCAAAAAGGGAGGGCTGTATGTCTGTATGAGTAGTGTGCGTGTGTCTATGTGTATGCATATGTATGGGAATATTCGTGCGTGTGCATAAGGGTGTATGTGTGTGACTGAGGCTGTGGAGTTGGTTCAGTAAGTGGGCAGCACCTGTCATCCTCCTCTCTCTAGCGGAGCCACAGTTTGAGCCTCAGCGCGTCCACGCCGTTCAGGTAATATCTGAAGAGCCGCTTGTCTCTGACAAAACCCAGGTTCTCATACAGCTTCAAAGCTGACTTGTTAGTGATCTCAGTCTCAAGAACCACCTGAGAGAGAGAGAGAGAGAGAGAGAGAGAGAGAGAGGAGAGAGAGAGAGAGAGAGAGAGAGAGAGAGAGAGAGAGAGAGAGAGAGAGAGAGAGAGATTGTCAGAGCTGAAGCAATACAAGTAGTGGTTGGATCATTTTGCTTTGTTTGTTTTTGTCATAAGAGAAGAGAAACAGCATTAACCATAATAAAATGGGATGAGTCATTCTGTGTGAATTTTATAAGCAAGAGGTGCACAAGTTATTTTTCTATTCTATCAATTTTATTCACTAGAGCTGTTGAGCACCTTTTTTTTGGTCTGGATACACAATATCAGGTTAAATGGGTAATCTGGTATTTCTACATACATTTTTGGACTTAAAAATTAATGCATAGCTATAGCAATTGATTATTGAAGAATATAAATTATAAATGCCTAATAAGCAAAATAAAATAAATAAATAAGTTTTGTTAAACTCCCCCCCCCCCCCCCCCCCCCCCTCAGCTGTTTACGAATAAAGTGGCAGGTGGCCGCTTTGTTGTGGTTTGAATCCAAGTTTGTGCCTTTAATCCATCAGTACCAGTGCAGTCAGGGCCACTAGCTGAGTGTAGGAACCAGACGGACAACAGGGCCTTGGGACATCACCATCAGACAGACAGTACCAATCCTCTTACCTCATCACAGTCCCCCTCTACCATGGCATAGATGGCCTTCTTCACCAGGTTAGTACCTGAAAACACACAGACAATCAATTCAGTGGGATTGCACATATAGAAGTTTGCAGAGAGAAAATGGAATTGATATAGCACTTTTAGATCAAACCTTTTTGCGAAAAGGGCTAGGTTAATAAAGTGTGATAGGTCGCCATGAGAAAATGACAAAGAGCGCGCCGGTTCTCACCAATGCTTTTCCTCCGGTGTTTGGAGTCCACAGCCAGCATGGCGATGTAGCCACGACGAAACATCTTCTTGTGCATGTCCAGCTTACACACAATGCCCCCCACACACTCCTGCTCCACCATGGCCTGGAAATGAACCAACATGTTTGTGCTGTGTCTAACCTAAAGTTTTTAAAGCTTTCTTTTGACCCAACAAAACCAAAAGGTAAACAAAACCAATGCTTCTAGCCAATGAGCATCCAGAACACATCTACCCTGATCTCTAGTTTGATTACACTGCACATGGCGCTTCCTCCTTCCTAGAGGTCACTAAATGGCAGTAGACAGAAATCATATTGAATATAAATAATCATGGTTACAATGATGACAATGGCTAAGTCCTCTATGGAGAGGGAGACAGATCAACAGCAAATTTCTGAATTTGTGTACCTAAAATGGTTTCATATTAGCCTAGAGTTCACCTCAAAATACCAAATGAAAACGTCAAGACTAGAAAAGTGAATGACTTGAAAGAGACTTGCAAGTGTTTCACAGTCAGCAAGCGTCTGAGGCTGCAACACTATATAGAAGGAGTCCCAAGGCTGTCCAAGGGGATGTGTGTGTGCGCGCACGTACATGCCACATCATGTTCAACTGTTGCCGTGTGACACACCTCAAGGTTATTAAATATAGTGCACGCCTACACTAGAAGTCACACCCTAACCAACCCTAGGCCTAGCCCACCAGCCCTTTTAGTCCAACCTAAAAACAAACAGTTTCACTGTCAGACAACACAACAGGGAGGAAGAAGGGAGGGTGGAAGGGCTACTCTTCTCATTTAGCCTATATGACACTTGTCTGGATCCACCTAAAGAGAAGCCTACAATTTAACTGGAACTTTAGGAATGTCAAAAGACCAGGATTAGATTACAGACTGACAGGATAATAACACAATAGAAGCCGACACAGTAACAATAGGCCTACATCAAAACTGTGCTAAGGGACACTAGTTGGCCTGTTTATTTTGCTAATTTTCCCCAACCACACCTAAGTCAAGTCATGAAGGTGTTTTAATATAGATCAAGGGAATTCAACTCTTACCCTACGAGGTCCGGAGCCTGCTGGTTTTCTGTTCTACCTGATAATGATTTGCACACACCTGGTGTCCCAGGTCTTAAATCAGTCCCTGATTAGAGGGGAACAATGAAAACATGCAGTGGTCCAGAGATGAGTTTGAGGGCTATAGATAGTGTCATGTCAGCAGCATACCACCCTGCATACCACTGCTGGCTTGCCTCTGAAGCAAAGCAGGGTCGGTCCCTGGAAGGGAGACCAGATGCTGCTGGAAGTGGTGTTGGAGGGCCAGCAGGGGTTACTCTTCCCTCTGGTCTAAGGAGATCCCAATGCCTCAGGGCAGTGAAGGGGACATTGCCCTCGGTAGGGTGCTGTCTTTCAGATGGGACGTTATACAGGTGTCCTGACTCTGTAGTCATAAAAATTCCCATGGCACATATCATGTGGTGAGCGTTCGGGCACAAAAATGGTCGCAGTGCATCACCCAGGTGGTTGCTGCACATTGGTGGTGGATGAGGTGAGTTCCCCCCTTACTATGTAAAGCGGTTTGAGTACCTCAGTTGCTAGAAAAGCGCTATATAAATCCAATCAATTATTATAATGTCATACTCACCAGAAAGCAGAGCTGCGGCCAGTTATGGATGAAGTACCTATAGGTATAAATGGAATAGGGCTCAGACAAGTCCTTGGTGATCAACCTCATGATTCCTGGCATCTGTAACTCGGACTCGTAGCGGACATAATGAATCCCCTGGCTCTCTTCCTCTCCTCGGCCAGGCGAGCAGTTCAGATCCAGTCTCGCTAGTTCTGACACCGGCGGCTGGTATGTGGCGTCGGGTTCACTCTCTACTCCAGCCCGGGGCTCGCCGGGGCCTTCACAGTCTGGAGGCTGCTGCCTCGGTGGACGAGGGGCTTCCTTGGGGTCGCATTCCCCTTTCCTAACGTTACCACCGGGGCGGTCTCCCGTTACAGGGTGGCTTTGGATAGCCTCAGTTCTTGTGATAGTCAGCATACCGTTCATGCTATTGTTGTTCAAGTGAGGGTGGCTGCCTTTCGAACACGGACTGTGGTCCTCATGTTGGCAGCAATGGTCGCTATTGTTTTTGTCGCTCGGGTCGTCTCCAAAACTGCTGTTGTCACAGTACTCCGTGGACGGTCTCGGATTTTTGGGTCGGTTTTCCGACGGACTGACCAAGCCGTTCATTTGCTGTTCCTGCAGGGCTTGCGTTTTGAGGTGTAGCGCAGCCGGGTTACCATGCGATAGCATGTTTTTCTGTTTTTTCTTACTTGCCCGTTTGTCCTCGCTGACCTGCTGCTCCTGTCCTGCCCCCGAGGCTACAGAGCCCTCCCGACCGCAGCCGAGCTGCTCCCCTTCCCCAGGTTCGAAACTCCCATCCCCGGGGAAGGGAATAATTTCAGCCGGGGATGCTGGCAATGCGCTGCTAGGCCCAGTCGGCACTGCAGCCATCCCACTTCATCAAGGGGGCGATACACGTTTGAAAAAACGCTAAATAAAGTTTAATCCACAAGTTGAAATGGTTTATAAACGAAGTTCACTTCCCTTATGCGATAATTGTGCAAATCCGAGGGTTTCAGAAAGAATCTCAGCTTTACTTCCGACGCCTTTCGCTGCTTCTCCTCGGTTTCCCCGCTGCCGGAAAGTACTGTCGCAGCAAACGCCATTGCAGCTGAACCAGGGTGGCGCTTTACGACAGTCATGGGAATCATGATGGTTAGTGATATTTGGGATGCTTGTGACGTTCCTACCCTAAATCCTAACCTTAACCCTAACCTTAACCATTTTAAACGTCAATTTCAATGGGGGTAACGTCAGAGGACAGTGCTGCCTCAGGGAGAAGATGGCGGAAACTAAGGTTTTGTTTGAAACTGCTAGTGAGTCGGGTGAATCTAATAGTACAGAAAGTGAGAATAAGTGGGTTACAGTGGCGAAGAAAAAAGGAAATAAGAGAAGTATAGCTGTGGTGGAATATAGGAAACCACTAGACTCCTTTTTAGTAGGAGTGAGGGTTTTGGATCAATGCTACTTGGGAAATCTGTTTAACGTCTTGAGTTAAATCTGGAATGTGTTGGAGGAAAGTGTGGAGTCGGTGAGAGTCACAAGAAGTGGTCTTATTTTGCTTTTTGTGTGTCTACGGAGAAGAAGAAGCGTGTTTTAATACTCAAAAAGATATCGGAGTATAAATGTTTCCTGTATGGATTTTCGTAGTAGGGCGCCTATCAAAGGGGCTATTTCTTGGGTGGCGCAAGAAATAAAGGCAGAGGATATTACTGAAGACATCTATGGAGTGGTTGGTACACGTCGACTGACCTGTAATGGGGTCTCTCCCCTTCTCATATAAAGTTAGGATTCATGAAAGACCCTGTAAGAGCTTTTGTTCACAAGCCCCTTCAGTGTCATGAATGTAAAAGATTTGGCCATGTGTCAAGTGTGTGCAGAAGGGAAGAGTATCATATGCCAGATGAAGTTAAATGCTGCAACTGTGGAGGTGAACATGCGCCTGGATTCCTGGAGTGCCCTGTTAGGGTGAAGGAGAATGAGGTGGCAAGGGTAAGGAGTGTCCAGCATGTCTCCTATCTGCAGGCGGTGAGAAGATTGGAAGGAACGAGTGGAGGGGAAGAAACAATGGTAGTAGAGCCACCACGACCAGTGAAGGTTTCTCATCAACCGAGGGATAGTGAAATGCTACATGTTAAAAAGGTGGACTTTGTATTATTTATTGCAATGGTCATAAACTGTACAACACAAGTCTAAGAAAATTGGAATCATTGTGAATGCAGCTCAACGTTTTTGGGGTCTTCGTGATTTCACAGCCGAGGTAGTGCAAGAAATCCTGTCGGTGAATGTTCCACCATCACAGGCCCCTGAGCCTGTGTAGGGATATATTTAGGAGTGGACTGTGATTGAAGAAGTGGGATGTGTTTTGTTAGTTGAAGTGTTTCATTTTGTATGATGTCGTTTTCCCACTTTCCCGCAACGGTTTTTTAGTTTCTTATTCATTACCCCGTCCAGTTGGTGGCGGTAATGCACCGTTAACATTGGATGCCAACCGCCGATAAACCCCATCGACAACGAAGAAGAAGAAGAAGACGAAGCAGAAGCAGAAGCAGAAGCAGAAGCAGAAGAAGAAGAAGAAGAAGAAGAAGCAGAAGAAGAAGGTAACGTCAGTTGGGACGTCCCGAGGATAGCATGGACCAAATCATAACGTAGAGGAAGAGGCGAAGCGAGAGGATTCCGCCGAATTCAAACCTCTGCAAAGCTATGGAAGTTATTAGGTGGACTGGCCATTCTTCATAAATGACAAAATAACAAATTAAATAGTGACAAGATAAATAACCAATCATTTTGAGGTATTTATTATCAAACGTATTCCCTTTCACACCTTCAAGTCAAGTTCCATGAACGTAAACAGGCCTACTTCCAGATCCCATATACTCTCTTGCCAGCAGAGGGTACTACTGTTATGTGCATTGAAATATGGTGCGATTGTTTCGTTTCTCCCAAAGTATTATGCAGTGCTAATGATTAAGTAATGTCAAGTGTGTGTGTGTGTAATGGAGAGAGAGCAATACTCTGCCTCATTGGCCAGGTCTCCCTTGAAAAATACGCATTTTACCTCAATGGGACGTCATGGATTTGATAAAGGTTTAAAAACAACAACAACAAAAAACAACAACTGATATCTCTGAAAATACGTTAACCCTTATAACAACTGCTTGCAATATTATTTTAATGGAGACATGGACAGACAGTGATTGTATATACACACACTGCCTGACCCCTAACACTGGGGAAGCCCTTGGCAATGCTAGGCAGCAGACGGGGAACAGAGGGGAGGTAGTAAACAGTAGGGGGTGGGGGGCAGCGATGCAGGAGGGTACAGGGCAGGGGGTACACACTCCAGCTGGAGCACAGTGAGGGATGGCAGCGCCCAACTGGGCATCAGAGGGAGGTGGAGCTCTCCCAGCCGAGGGCGATAAGGGGGAAGCTGGGAGGCGAGACTCCACCCAGAGGGGGGTGTGTGTGTGTGTTTGGGGTGGAGTGGGGGTGGGTTGGGTCGGGACTGTTTGGGTGTTTGAGCAGGTGGAAGGGATTAGATGCACTGGAGAGGCTGGATAAGGGTTCACCAGATTATGATGTAAACACACACACACACACACACTCTCTCCCCAGAGTTCCACCCCATTCAGTTGAATTCCTGTCAGATGAATTGGACATGGAATTCTCCACATGAAAGCAATTCAACTCCAGAATTGACTGGAAATTAGATTGAGTTGATCCCAACTCTGACACACACACACACATTTCATGCATGCACTAACTGGGTTGTGTACTTCTCTCTTAAAGACAGGTGGCAGTGTTGCCCTATAACTTTGTAACGTCCTAACTGAAGCGCTCTCCAGTTTCCAAATACAGTGGTCATGTATCAGGCTCAGAGTTTCTCTCAGTGTGTGGGGATGGATGGCACTATGATGCCCAGCCAATATCTCCAGATCCCCAGTCACAATGGACAGCCATGATAAACAATGAGCAGCCAGGAGAGTTTGTGGTATCTCAGCACATTTCTCATCATAGTTGAAGAGCTCTCACAACAAGTGATGAAGGTAAACACAGATTGGATTTGACACTCAGGCGCTGATGGATGTGTTTAAAAGTGTTGACATGATGAAGCTGTGATGCGGTTTGACGAATGCCACCCCCCCCCCCCCCCCCTTCTCTTTCTCTCAACCACACTTTATTTGTATTTGCCCCTGTAAATTGATTTCATTACAAGAGGCCATTGCTTTAAAGAGGAATATAAGTGTCTCTGTGGCCCGCGGTCATATTTCCTATCTCACCAACCCTCACGTTTCAGGGTGTGTGTGTGCACGTGCATGCGTGCGTGTGTGTGTCGTGCTTGTAGTGTAATGAGTATGAATAAAGTGTGTTTGATTTGGCCAGAAAACAGAAAGAGAGGGAGAGAGAAAGAACCTACCCTTTGAAAGCTATACGCCTTGGGGCTGAGAACTCTCTGAAGAGCTGGAATCAGACATGCACAATCAGTTCCCCTCTTTAAATCACCTTTCCAGGCCTATCTACTTCAACAGCCTGCTCTTAATTACCTTCTCTATCACTTAGCAGACCGGGACTGGGCTAAAAGAGCAGGGCCACAGATAGTATTACTAAACACCATCTCTATCTATTTCCCTGTGTCACTCCATCACTCCATCTTTCCCACTATGTCGTCCTGTCTCTCTCACTCATTCCGTCTCTTCCTGTCTAGCAAATGCTGCATCATATTCTGACTGTATAGTGTTGAGGTTAGATTGGTGGAGTGAATGCAGTATGTCTCCCCCTTTCAAACAAAACAATCATCTGCTCTAAAGAGGCCAATCGTGTACGGCTGCATGCTGAATGGGCTGGCCAAAATTAGCCTCTCCACACACCGCTCCTTGAGCAACTGTGTTTTCAGAACACAGTAACTAAAAAAACAATGAGTTTCACACAAAGCCTCCAGAGAGAGTCTGCCTCCTCCGCCTAGAGACGCCAGCCACTGCCAAGTGCATTAACTCCTCTCCTCCTCTCTTCTTTACTCACTTCCCCACTCCTACCCTCCTCCTACTTCACCTCGCCTCTCGCAAAGGAAACAAAATGTCTCCTCCCAAACTCTGAACCAATCTCTCTGTCACTCCCTCTCTTCCACTCTCCTTCTCTGACTTTTCCTCCCCTCGCTCTCCGTCTCTGTCCCTCTATCCCTCATTTCAGTCATCCATCATTTCAGTCATCCTTCATTTCAGTCGTCCCTCATTTCAGTCATTTCAGGCCAATCATGTAACAGCCTGCACCTTTCCCCAGAAAACAATACATTACAGCTATCTCTCTCTTTCCCTCTCTCTCTCCTCTCCTTTTCTCTCACTCCTCCCCTCTCTCTCTCTCTCTCTCTCTCTTTCTCTCTCTCTCTCTCTCTTGCTCTCTCTGTCTCTCTCTCTCTCTCTCTCCCTCCTCCAGTCTGTCTCATTGGCCAGGGCCCGGGGTACGAGGGCCTCAATGTGGACCACTGTTACTGTTTTTCCACTCCTGACTGTCCGTTTGGCTCGCACCCCTCTCTTTCTCTCCCTCTGTCCACTCCCATCCCTCCTTCCTTCTCTCCCTTTGTTTGGCGCCTGGTCCAGGAGAGCCGGGTTTAATTAGTTTCTGTTGGGTTAATTAAGGGGGAAAAGTTAGGGGGTTGGACCGGAACAAAAGCGGGTCAGACTGGCTGGACGGACGCAGGTGCTCGGGAACGGTTGCCAGATTCCAGCGTTCAGATTAAAAATGGCCTCTCAGCGCCTGGAGTGGAGAGAGCTGTCAGACTACCAGAAACTCACTGTCTGGGGAAGGATTTCACCGCACATGTAACGGCAACCGAATGTAGGAATGTTAGAATAGATTTGGGGATTTACTTTTAGACTGCAGTGTATGGAATACAT